CAGTCTAATTACAAGTGATCTTGGCGACATCGCCGAGATCACTTGTAAACAACCAGCTTTCCCCATTCTTCATTTAGCCCGGCTTGTGCAAAGCAGAGCTAAATGTAGAAAACAAATTACCGCCCGGCGCCCGGAACTCCATGTTCCGGGCGTCGGGTGACTTCAAACCTGTGCCGTCCCTCTTCTCCGTGCCTCCCCGAGGCCGGGCCTCGGTGGCCTTGGCGGGAATCCGGCCCTGGGTGTAACTGTAGTCATAGTAAGCCATGCGATTGCAATGAGACCCAGAAACACAGGAGAACCCCCGTGATGGATACAGAGTGATCCATGCACTTAGCAATGTATGTCTGTAGAACCCTCTAGCAGGGGTAGGCAAACTTCGGCCCTCCAACTGTGGGACAACTACAAGTCCCATGAGGCCTTGCGAGACTCTGACCATCACAGGCATGACTCCCAGATTGCATAATGAGATGAGCATGCACGGCTCAGTGTATATTTACAAAACTTTGCCGCCTCTCCTCTGCACTAAGAAGCTTCCCGCCAGCAATGTTTTTTAAACTGAAGTTCAACCTTAAAGGAGAACTTGAACATGGCTGTGGGGGGGGCAGGGAGAGTAAATCCGGCCCTGTGTATGACATTATATAATGTGTCTCCTTCTCCTTCTTTAGGTGTCCCATTTAGACCTTCTGTTAGGAATTATGTCCAACCGGACGCTGATCTCAGAAGTCACCTTGGTCGGGTTTCCAGGGGCTCCGGAATACTTGGACTCCTTCATATCCGCTATAATGTTTCTTGTCTATATTATTTCTCTGGTGGCTAACGGGAGTGTCCTAGGTTTGGTCATAATCAGCGCTCACTTACACCAGCCCATGTACCTGATCATTGCCAACCTCTCTGCCTCCGATCTCTTGTTCGACACGGCCACTTTACCAAAACTGATCGCCAAGTACTGGTTTGGAGATGCCCAAATGCCCTTTAGGGCTTGTCTTTTCCAGATGTTCTGTGTCCATTATTTCGGGACAGTTGACTCCTTCCTTCTGTTATTAATGGCCGTGGATCGTTACGCTGCCATTTGCCATCCTTTAAGGTATGCCACCCTCATCGATATTAGGATGATCGTTCTGGCGTGCGGTCTTTGCTGGGCGGTTTTAGCGCCTTCTACCATCGTAGTTATCACCGCTAGGATTTCACAAATGGCCCTTTGTGACCGGGACAAGATCGGCACGTTGTTCTGTACTCATACCGCCATCTCAGCTCTGTCCTGTACGGATGTGTCATCCCTCAGGGTGGTGGCTTTCACGTCCGCGCTGGTTGTGCTTCTAACGTGCCTGGCGCTCATTGTCATTTCTTACATTCTGATCATAAGAGAAATATCGTCAACTCACTCCGAAAATTGGCAGAAGGCCTTTTATACCTGCACCACCCACCTCCTGGTCATCTCTCTGTACTACGTGCCTCGAGTCTTTGTCTACATTGTGACTAATATCCCGCTGTTAAAAGTTCAAAACGAAGCCAACGTGGTGCTCCTCTGTCTTTATTCCTTTGTGCCGCACTTGGCCAGTCCCATAATATATTTCCTCAGAACAAAGGAAATTGCGGAGACTTTACGCAAAGTTCTGAGAAAGAAATTTAGATCTTTCCCAGCAATAAACATCCAAGTTGGAACAAATCATAGCTGAGAGGTAATTCTTTATGTCAAGCAGGTTCCAGGCTGCCCTCATTAGTGCCTCCAAACAACAAAACCGGGGGTGGGAGTCGCCATTCAGTTGTGTCTAGACCAGCAAGATGTCTGAATACGGCCATGGTCCTTCCTACTTTTCTTCACCTCAGACCGCAATTGTCCATCCTTTCATATTGGTCTCGCTTCCATTATCCATTAAATTTTATGAACATGAATTAAGAGATATCCCTGCTGAAGTTCCCAATATCACTTTCAGGCCAGCCGCTACAAAACCTGACATGAGCCAGGACAAGCAGTAGGCAGGGGAGGATTCCGCCTTGGCCAACACCAAGGCCATCAGAAACCCTCCTGTGTTGGTTGTCACCTAGTTGGCACCAACCATGCTGTATTACCTTTTCGGGTCATATGGTGTCAGCAACCCCCTGCTGCTGCTGCGCATGAGCGAAGTCCCGTTGGAAAACGCGCACTTTCGCGCATGCGCCGCGGACCAGCCACGAAACAGCACGCCAAATGGCGCACAGGAAGTGACACACTGTCCTAATTGTTCCCACCATATAAGATCAGCCTGCATGCCTCCATATTGCTGGATTATCTTCAGCTCTCCTGTGTTCCTGTGTCCAGTGATTTATCTGCCTGTGTTACTTTCACCCGGATCTGCCTTGACCATTATTGCCTGCCGCCAGCCCCCCGACCTTGGATTGTTTACTGGACTTTGCCCTTGCCTCATCCCTCTGTACTGTTCCTGCCCGTTTGGTGTGACCTTGGTTCGTTGACCTGGATTTTGGATTCTGCCCGGTTCTACTCCAGCTCCTGGATTTCAGCTTACACGGTCTTATCACCACTGGCACCCGTGCCACTCGCTGTCTACTTGGACTCTGTTCCCAACCCCAGAGCCCTCGTGACACAGGGTGCAAGGGAGGCCTCCTCACGCATTCAGTCTCAAATCAGGTATGTGACACCATCATAAACCCTCCTGTGTTGGTTGCCTCCTAGTGGGCACCAACCATTCTGTATTACCTTTCGCGTCATTTCCTCGTCCTGTTGTAGCAACTCCAGTACGGCGCAGCTGAGAATCTCTCCAGAGTTCTGTCTGTGTGATGACCCCAGAGAGGAACTCATACTGAGCTAATAGATACAGCAATGCTTCTCTTTTTTACCAGGGTGAACCCAGATGTCTGCTAGCCAGTGCAGCCCAGAAGAGGAGCTTCTTGAGAGATGTGAGCCAGGTTTGGAGGTCAGAGTAGAGTCCACTCTCTTACTGCTGGCTGGGGAACCTCAGATATAGCAGGCCCAGTTCTTCACACCTTACTCCATCACCCAACTGGTTGGCATAGAGAGGATAATGATGTAACATCTGCAGGGGTAACAGATAGTTATAATGGCTGCAGTGAAGGGAGGCAGGTATAATAGCTGTATGTGGTAGGCGTGATGGATTCATGACTACCAGAGGTAAAGGGGCTGCAGGGGGCTGCAGGTGGGTAAGAGGTGAGGTTATACAGCTGCAGGAAGGTTGCACTTTGGTGGTGGATATTGGGCTAGGGGTGGTGACGGATATTTAGTCTGGCCAGTTACACTAATAAATAGAAAACCAAACCCTGTCTATGCCTTCCTCATGCTGAACAGTGGAAGGGGTTTGGTTTACTAGAACCAGAGATGAAGGATGAGCTCAGGTTTGGACCAATTTCGATCTGAACATGAGCTCCTTCAAACCTAAAAGGAGTTCCTTCCAAAAATAGACGGAAGCTCCCTCTGTGCCGTCCAATTAGTTGCAGGCTGGGAATTGTTTATATTCCTGATGTAAATAAAGGGGCGGGATGTTTATAGTGACATAATTTACCTTATATGGCTACAGCCCTAATTTTATAAATGAGATTGACCCAATGTGTCTATAGGGCCCTGTAGGGTAAATTATGTCACTGCAAACATCCCACCCCTTTGTTTAAATGCAGCTGCGGGGTGGGCAATGCCTGGCCTGAAGCTGTTTTTGAAGTGCTCATGGAATTGGAAGCGCTCATGGCTTGTATGGAGAGCTCAAGTCCACACTGGGTTCTATCCAAACCTGAGCTCATCCCTTCTGGCTATATAGAGCGACCCCTGACACTGGGCATCATTCAACCCGGAAGACTGAGTAAATGCTGCATGGAACAGTGCCAAGAAGGAGGAGGTGTGACTGCAGAGCACGGTGGTGGCACTCCATCAAGGGGCGGGTTCATGACACCCAGCACTTCTAGGATGTCCTGAGTCCTCATGTTGAATGATGATGGGTGTCAGTGAACCCAGAAGACTGAGGACATCTAGTGGGGGAAGGAATCATTGTGGAGGATCAATGATGGAATGAGTAATTTTTGATAAAATAAAAATTCCGGTTCACAGCTTAGTGAACTGACACCCGGACAAGTAATTTGTTTGGTATATGTCCAGGGCTGGATTTCCCACAAGGCCAACCAAGGCCCGACCTTGGGGCAGTAGGGAGTAGAGGGGCAGCAGGGGTGTGCAATTCCTATCTCCCGATGCCCGGGCGGGTAGTTGTTTTCTACATTTAGCACGGCTTTGGGCAAGCAGAGCTAATTGTACAGCAGTACATGTATGCAGCCTGCAGATCTGCCTTTCTCCATAGGGAGGGGGGGTTCGCAGGTAGGGGGGCACATTGAGGAACCTGGCCTTGGGGCAGCAGAGAGAGTAAATTCGGCCCTGTATATGTGTGCCCCATTTTGTGGTTTACAATTTATTATGATACATAAACATGTGTAAGAGGTTTTTTGTTATTTGTTATCTCAATAAAGACAATTCATATTTTTAATTTACAAATATGAATGAAAACAACCATCCAAATCTTTTTTTATTTCCTTTGATGTGTGTTCACTCAGCATGAATGTTATTCCATAGGGATCACAGATCTCTGCCCTGCCCTTCTTATGATAGAAAGGGAAGGAGCGTCACACCAAGAACTAAGAGTCGGGATGGTTTGTGTTTCCAATAAAGTGCAATCAGGATAAAAGACAAGGCAACCCAGCTCAGGGGCTTCCTCCCATTGCACTTCTGACCAGATCGCTCCACTCCTCTCCGGCACACCCCCACCCAGACTGTGCCACTCTCTACCAATGCAGCCTGACCCAGACCACTCCGGCACACCCCCACCCAGACTGTGCCACTCTCTACCAATGCAGCCTGACCCAGACCACTCCACTCCCCTCCGGCACACCCCCACACCCCCACCCAGACTGTGCCACTATCTACCAATGCAGCCTGACCCAGACGACTCCACTCCCTGCCAATGCACCATAACCCATATGGCTCCACTGCCTGCTAATGCACTGCTTCCCAGACAGCTCCACTCTCTTTGCAGCCTATACAAAGCTATATGGTGCAGGATATGGAGCTACATATATGGTGCAGGATATGGAGCTACATACAGTATATGAGTATATGGTGCAGAGTTGGCGTGATGGCTCAGTAGTGGCTGTGTGTGTACTAATGCCCACATTTTCTGCAGTGATTTATAATAAACAGTGTGCCTAGCACCCCCGATCAGCACCCCACTCCTTCAATAACCCCCCAACCTGATCAGCCCCCAGTCCTCCATTTATTCTCTCCCCTATTCTACACTAAGCACCTCCATTCAACCCTCTCTACTGTTTTATTTTTTTGGACTTCTATTTTATGTATGTACACTATATTGCCAAAAGTATTGGGACGCATTTACACTCACATTTACTTTAATGGCATCCCAGTCTTAGTCCGTAGGGTTCAGTATTGGGTTGGCTCCGCCCTTTGTAGCTAGAACAGCTCCAACTCTTCTGGGAAGGCGTCCATAAGGTTTAGGAGTGTGTCTATGGGAATGTTGGACCATTTGTGAGGTCAGGTACTGATGTTGGGGGAGGGGCTCGCAGTCTCCGCTCCAAACTCCCCCATCCATGTCTTTATGGACCTTGCTTTGTGCACTGGTGCGCAGTCATGTTGGAACAGGAAGGGGCCGTCACCAAACTCCTCCCACAAATTTGGGAGCATGAAATTGTCCAAAATGTCTTGGTATGCTGATGCCTTAAGAGTTCCCTTCACTCGAACTAAGGGGCCAAGCCCTACCCCTGACCCCCCTCCACCAAACTTTACACTTGGCACAATGTAGTCAGGCAAGTACCGTTCCCCCGGCAACCGCCAAACCCAGACACTTCCATCGGATTTCCGGACAGAGAAGCGTGATTGGTCCCTCCAGAGAACACGTCTCCACTTCTCTAGAGTCCAGTGGCGGCGTGCTTTACACCACGGCATCCCACGCTATGCATTGCACTTGGTGATGTAAGGCTTGGATGCAGCTGCTCGGCCATGGAAACCCATTCCATGAAGCTCTCTACGCACTGTTGTTGTGCCAATCTGAAGGCCACACCAAGTTTGGAGGTCTGTAGCTATTGACTCTGCAGACAGTTGGCGACTTCTGCGCATTGTGTGCTTCAGCATGCGCTGACCCCGCTCTGTCATGTGACGTGGCCGACCACTTCCTGGCTGAGTTGCTGTTGTTCCCAGTTGCTTCCACTTTGTTATAATCCCAGTAACAGGCGACCGCGGAATATTTAGTAGCAAAGACATTTCCACGTAACACCTGAATCGAATGATTTGGAGGGGCGTTGCAATACTTTTGGCAATATAGTGTATGTATGTATGTTAAATAACATCATGCCTAACCGTGATTATACATGATGTGAAGAAAGCTAATATCCCCAAGCGTTACCAGTTTTGGGATGGGCACACATTTTCTAGTTTGGGAAGAGGGTTTAATACATATGAATAAAAGGCAACAGTTGGAACTACCCCTGGCAGTGTTATATGGTTTGTCCCAACCCTGTCACTACTGCTGGACAGCTTGACCTGTTACTGGAGTGGAAAAATAATGTATCTTCTGGAGGAATTAATTGGTGATAAAACATCTATGACGTTCCAGCAAAGTAAGACTCGCTTACTTGTTAATTAGCTCTTACAGAATCAGAAGATGAGGACACTATAGAGAACTGCTCTCCTCTAGATAAGTAATGACAGAAGATGAGGACACTACAGAGAACCGCTCTCCTCTAGATAAGTAAGGACAGAAGATGAGGACACTACAGAGAACTGATCTCCTCTAGATAAGTAAGGACAGAAGATGAGAACACTATAGAGAACCGCTCTCCTCTAGATAAAGGCAGAAGATGAGGACACTATAGAGAACCGCTCTCCTCTATATAAGTAAGGACAGAAGATGAGGACACTATAGGGAACCGGTCTCCTCTAGACAAGTAAGGACAGGAGATGAGAACACTATAGAGAACTGATCTCCTCTAGATAAGTAAGGACAGAAGATGAGGACACTATAGAGAACTGATCTCCTCTAGATAAGTAAGGACAGAAGATGAGGACACTATAGAGAATTGCTCTCCTCTAGATAAGTAAGGACAGAAGATGAGGACACTATAAAGAACTGCTCTCCTCTAGATAAGTAAGGACAGAAGATGAGGACACTATAGAGAACTGATCTCCTCTAGTTAAGTAAGGACAGAAGATGAGGGCACAATAGAGAACCGCTCTCCTCTAGATAAGTAAAGACAGGAGATGAGAACACTATAGAGAACTGCTCTCCTCTACATAAGTAAGGACAGAAGATTAGGATACTATAGGGAACTGATATCCTCTAGATAAGTAAGGACAGAAGATTAGGACACTATAGAGAACTGATCTCCTCTAGTTAAGTAAGGACAGAAGATGAGGACACTAAAGAGAACTGATCTCTTCTAGATAAGTAAAGACAGAAGATGAGGACACTATAGAGGAGTGGTTCTCAACCCGTGTAAGCTTGGGACCCACATGTTTCCTTGGTCATTAAGGCGTGATGAGGACACTATAGAGAACCGCTCTCCTCTAGATAAGTAAAGACAAAGATCGAACACCCTAATCTGCACTAGCATATGTTATTTAAGATGCAATCTTTAGGGAGTTTCCTTATGTCCCATCCTCAGGCTTTTTACAATATATGTATTATATTTCTGAAAATGGTTCTGAAGTCCACATACTTACACACAGAGTAACAAAGAGTTGCAAAGAAACACAAGAATTAGTAAAACACAACTATCTTTTCTTGACACACCTGAGTAGTGATGACTATTGTAAATGATTAGGATAGATATACATTGGTTGTAATCAGAGTTTAGGGGTGTAATTGGGGTAAATGGCTAGGAGATGAGAAGTCCGGGTGCACGTCGCACCTCAGGATGACTTGGTTTAAATGAAAGTCCTTCTGAAATGTCCATATACCTTCCATCAGAAATTCACCATCAGTACTTTGAGATTAAGGCACCGATGGAAACTGAAGCTAAACAGGGGCAGGAATATTATGATGTTATATAACAAAGGGAACAAGATTTATTAAAGTTTCAAAGTAGTTTTTCATCATTTAAAGTGACACTAAACTCAGGAGTTAAATCTTAAAAATACATCCAAGTACCCTAACTATTAACACAACTGTAACCTATTTTGTGTGTCACTGGGCTGTAGCTCCTCAAATCATCTCTGAATTGGTGCTGACACTGTCCTTCCTTCTGGAGGGGGGCTACGTCTGTTCCCCATGGTCCCTGTGTGTGTTGTAAAGTAGTCACCGCTCCAAGCTCACTCCTGTGATAGACTACAATCTCAATACAAATTAGTAAACTAAACCTGAGATTGTAGTCTATCCAGGGAGCGAGCTTGGAGCGGTGACTACTTTACAACACACACAGGGGCCATGGGGAACAGATGTAGCCCCCCTCCAGAAGGAAGGACAGTGTCAGCACCAATTCAGAGATGATTGGAGGAGCTACAGCCGATTGATACACAAATAAGATGCATTGTTCCTGCTTTACATCAGGAGTCCCCTTCACCTCAGTCTTCATTCCCCCCTTCTACCACAAACTTTTGAGGCACCCCTAAGGAAGCCAGAAGGCACACCAGGGTGCCATGGCACCTTAGTTAAGAAAGGCTGCTTTAGTGTATAATAAAATAGAGGCATAATTATACAAAACAAGACATTTTTCCATGTGAACCCATTGAAGTAGTACCTGGAAAATCTCAAGTGTCCATTTTTGAACTTCCTTGACATTTAGGTTATATGTTGATGATGGTTAGATTCCAAAAACTGGTGAAGGAGCTTACTTGGTTTCAGCAGATGCATAAAAACTACCTAAAAACTTCAATCAAGCATTCTGCTTCTTCAGCAGTTTTTCTTGAGTACATAGTACGTCCTGTCCCTTGATTCATTGCATCTGTGTTTTAATACAATTATTAATGTGGGTATGAAGTTGAGTATTTCTTCTTTTTAGATGTTTTCTTAGAAGACTTCTTCATGTCTAATCACACCGTGGTCTTAGAAATTACTTTAGTTGGATTTCCCGGTCTGCCTGATGCATTCCACAGCTCGGTATCAACCATGATGTTTTTCACCTACATGATATCGCTGACCGCCAATGGCGCTGTCGTAGGTTTGGTCATTTTTAGCGAGCGCTTACATCAGCCCATGTACCTGATCATAGCCAACCTCGCCGCCTCCGGTCTGCTGTTTGACACCGTGACTTTACCAAAAATAATTACCAGGTATTGGTTTGGAGCTTCCACCATTCCCTTGAGTATGTGCCTGTTTCAGATCTTCTTGGTTCATTATCTTGGAAGTGTGGACTCGTTCCTGTTGTTGCTGATGGCTGTAGATCGCTATGTGGCCATCTGCCACCCACTACGATACACCTCTGTCATCACCAATAAAGTGGTCACCATTTCCTGTGGCTTCTGCTGGATCATTTTGGCGTCTTCCATGAATGTAGTCAATACTGTTCTAGCGTCACAGATCTCCCTGTGTGGAACCAGCAAGGTAGATAGCTTGTTTTGTGGCTACACGGCCTACGCGGCCTTAGCCTGTACTGATATAACAAGCTCGAGAAAGTGGGTTTTTGTCAATTCTATGGTTGTCCTTTTTTTGCCATTGGGGCTGATATTAGTTTCCTACATCAGAATAATAGCGGTCATCTCAACCACTCGCTCTGAGAGCCTCCAGAGAGCCTTTTACACTTGCGTGACCCATTTGTTGGTCATCTCTTTGTATTATAGCCCTCGACTTTTTGTCTACATTGTAAGTGAATTCAGCTGCGGCGTCTCAGTATACTGAGCCTGGGGTGACGGGAGGACGCTAGTTTGTGTCCTCCCGTTACACTAAGGAGAACTATGGGGAAAAGCCCTAACCCCATAGTTCTCCTTTAAATTAAGGATATCAACTACACTGTATGTGTTTTATTTAATATTACCTAAGGGTGTAATTATTTATTATTATTGTACAGGATTTATATAGCGCCAACAGTTTGCGCAGCGCTTTACAATATAAGGAAGACATTACAATCACAATACAATTCAAAAACAAGATGGTAAGGAGAGCCCTGCCCCTGAGGGCTTACAATCTAAAAGGAAGGGGGAAGTGATACATGAGGAGGTAGCAGTGTGGGGAGGAATTGTTTGAGAACGTGATGGTTCAGTGGTTAGGCTGAGGTGGGATCGGCTTCCCTGAAGAGATGAGTTTTCAGGGTACGCCTCAAGGTGGGCGACAGACATGGGGGGCGGGAGGAAATATCATGAGCTCATTTTTTGAAAGGTTGAGTTTTAAGAAGTGTTGCGACATCCAGACGGATATGTCAGTTAGTAGATTAGTGACACACAAGGATACTGAGGGGGAGAGTTGTGGAGTAGAAAGATAGATTTGAGTGTCATCGGCATAGAGATGACACTTTAAGGTTGTTATTCTAAAGGGGGTGTCAGGGTTCCGCCCGGACTTTACTGGTTTTCAGCATTCTGGCTTGGCTGACATTTTACTCACCTGTGATTCCTTCTTTGCCTGAGCAGACTCTTGAACGTTGCTCACTACTCCCAGGCTCCCTCTTATGGCCAGACAGGAGAGCATCATCTGAGAGAGCCAGATGGGAGTTTCCTGTCTCTGAGTGATGATGTCACCCCACTCACTATATATAAATCACTCAGTCCAGTGTGACCTTGCGTGGTCTTCCTGCTAGTGCATTCCTGCTGCTCTGAGTATCCTGATTCTGTGGATGACCCGATCCTGGCTGACGTTCTCCTCTGGCTCCTGCCCCTGGCTTGTTCCTGACAACGCTGATTTCCTGGCTCCTGCTCCTGGCTTGTTGCTGACGATGCTGATCTCCGTGTTCCTGACCTGGCTTGGATGACTACCCACTCCGGCTCCTGACTCTGGCTTGTTCCGGTTTATGATTCTGCTTGCTCCTGTGGACACCTTTCTTAATAAATATTTTAACTACCACCTTTGCTTGTCTGGTTTTCATTGTGCTCTGACAGGGGGATTCCAGATTCTGATAAGTTTTCACCTGTAGGCCCCCCCATCCAGTGGTCCACCTCCCCAACAAGGTACCCTATTGAGGGCATGTGGCTTGATATTATTCAGGAAGAGGGCCACGTGCTTACTGCCCCCCCCCCCCCTTCCCTATTCTGGCCAACCAGGCTGCATGCCTGAATAAGGGTCCGGTATGGATATTTTTATTTGTATTCCCCCATTGAAACACCATATCAGACCCTTATCTAGGATAAGGGTCTGATATGAATTTTGAGGGGGACCCCAGACACACAAAAAAGCATGAGATCCCCTCAAAATCCTTACCAGACTTTTATCTGGGCATGCCACCTGGCTGGCTAGGAAAGGGATGGGCAGTGAGCTTGCTCTCGCTCTTCTGAACCATACCACATTTTTTTTTGTTGTGTGTGTGGGGTTCCCCTCAAAATCCATACTAGACCCCAATCTAGGATAAGAGTCTGGTATGGATTTTAAGAGGTAACCCACACTGTTTTTTTTACATCAGCAACATTTGTGGCCTGGTATGTTTCTGTACGGCGGGGGAGACACCCGCTTGCTGAGACCTTCTTTTCTGGCCACCCAGAAAGCATGTCTGGATAAAGGTCTGGTAAGGATTCTGATGGGATCCCCATGCGCAAAACAATGGCATGGGGTCCTCTTTTAAAATCTATGCCAGACTCTTATCTTGGATAAGGGTCTGGTATGGATTCTAAGGGAGACCCCAGACACAAAAAAAAAGCATGAGATCCCCCAAAATCCATACCAGGCTCCTATCTGGGCATGCCAACTGGCTGGCAATGGAAAGGGATGGGCAGTGAGCTTGTTCTCTCTCTCATGAACCATACCAGGCCACGTGCACTTAACATGGGGAAGACACCTTGCCAAAAATGTTATTTAAAACAATTATTTATTTTTAATGTTACCCTTTATGTTGCATTTAAATACCCGCTCCTGAATGGTATTTTAAAAAAATCTTTTTGCATTGGTACGTTTCCCCTATGGAAGTGCCCCGCTCCTCATATCCTTTACCAAAAGCCTGCAAATCGACCCAAATAAAGGCCAGAAAAAATATACAATATTTGGCTTCCACACACTTAATTGGGGTTTGGCCGCTATGTTTGGGGGTTGCAGATTTTTTTCAAATGTTCCGTGACCATCAAGTGAACCGAACTTTGGTCACAACTCATCACCATGGTGGCATGAAGTCTGTGACATGTGTTAACTGTTAGAGTTACATGGCCGAAGGTGTGAATCATCGTCACGTTTTATTATCATCAGTTCGCCAATTTGACTCCAATTCACACCATTAGCCATGTAACTTGAGTAACTAACATCTGTACCAGACTTCATTGCAGGGACGTGCGGTCAGGGGAGGCAGGTGGGGCACAGCCTCAGCTAGTATTACAGAGGAAAAAGGTGTCAGCATCAAGTCTGAAGCTGACAGCTTTTTCTCCATTCAGATCGGCTTGTAAGGGGTTACACAGTGGGGAGTCGACTTGAGAGAGAGAGAGAGGACGTCCAGGTTCTGCCAGCAGACTTTGTCTCTTCCCATTTGATCTGAAGAGTGGTGTGAGGCCTTTGGCCGCAGTGACACCCTGTTTCTTGTTTATATCTGCACTACAGTAAGGGCCCCAATGCCGGCTAACCCAGGACACCACTACTGGCCAGCAGTATAGGGAGGGTCGGACATTGTTAAAGGGAGACCTTAAAGGGACATACACCCCATTCGAGGAAAGCCTTTGGAGACAATTGGCCTCTCTTACATCAGGGCTGACAGCAAATAGCTGCAGTTACTAAATTGCAGAGTGCCTTAGCCTGTTGCTACCCATTCTTTTTATGTGATTGTTGATGTTATCCTTGTCTTATAGTTAGTCATATCAGTTTTTGTCAGTAAATCTGTTACCAAACCCTTTAAAGGTGTACTGGTGTGCTGTGGATTCATTGCTTGAGGTGTATCACAGAGGTGAAACAGAAGTACCCAATCATTCAGCAGCTCCTTCGGGGGTGAGCGCTACACGTGGGGGCTCGTCCGGGATATCTTCTGATACCTCTTGCAGAGTGATAACCGCACAAACGAGCCAGAAATGGATGCAAACACAGCTTCAAAGTGGTGCAAGGAACAAAATGGCCAATTAGGTGTCATGCGCCCTTCCTATCTCTGAATTTCTGGGGATCCCAGCTGCGGTTCTCAGTTCCCCCTTGTGGTTAGGTGCGGTAGTCAGACTAGAATCCCAGGCGTCACTCTCAGTCAGGAGCGGAGAGTTTGGGATTCGAGCATCATTGGCCGCATAACCAAAAAGGAAAAGCAAGTGCAGCGGAGTTATTCCTTCATAACCCCGTCAGAAGCACACAAAAAAAGGATACTTAAAGTCTGTCACAGAAGTAGCCACTTATGAATATCTAGGTCCCTCTAGAATCTCTGGGTAACAGGTTCACAGCAACCTCACATATAGCAGTTTAGCAAGTCCATACACAGCACATGGAAGTACAAGTCACAGGCTGAGGTGTGGATTATATGGAGAGGTAATGGCAACATACAGGCGTAGCAAGATTTAGAGGGCAAGCAGTTCATGCAGCAAGGACACAAGGCAAAGCCAAGCAGAGACCAGCAGGTTATTCCCTTAGTGGGGTACTTGCGCTTTTGGTGGGATCACCACCCAGGATCCGGAACCCCTCTTCTAGGGTATTTGATGCAGGAAGGTCCTCAAGCACAAGGAGAATCCGGAGGCAGGCTGGCAGGTTGCAGGCGTTAGTAGGGTGCACAAACGAATTAGTGAACGCCATACTAGCGTTCCAATTTGTTTTAAATTGCCCGCCAGACGCAGAAGTGAAGCCTCGCAGCACTTCCGCGTTCCAGCGTGTAGCGCATATTGCCTCCCACACCTGGAAGGAAGTGACCGTAACTAGCGGCCGATGCGTTCCAGGGTGGAACGCACACGGGCCGCGCGGCGCTGTCCCGGTTCGTTACATTAGGGCTGAGTGTAGTAAAGGAAGGCCCGAAGCGGGGGGAAAAAAAAAAGGGCAGGGCATACATGACAAGATGTATAGGGGAGACAAGCTAAAAGGGTTAACGAGGGTTCGGTCTTGGGGACATGGTCACTTACCTGATTGGACAGGTCGAAAGTTTAGGTGGGGCTTGAACAGTGGTCTGAGGAGGAGGGTCTTCTCTGCAGCTGTTGGAGATTGTCTGAGGTAGAGTGAACTTCCCTCCCGCCCGCCCAAGGAATTTTTGGTGTTAGTCTGGTTAGTTATGCGGTTGGGGTCTTTGGAGGCCATCAAATAATAGGTGCTGGTGGTTAAGGTTTGGGGACCTGTCTTGGTATGGGTCCTCTATTCATCTATTGGATATTTGGAGTGTATGCGGTCAGTTGGTGGTTGTCCCCGAGGCGGTGTGTTGCGGCTGGGGGCCTAACATGTTGTAGTACTGCCCGCAAGTAACGGATCAAAGGTGTGGCCTTCAAAGACCTGCAACTTTGTTCAGGTAATTCTGATAATTGTTTATATATAGTATGTTTTTATATATCAAAGTTGTTAATAAAAGCCTGCCAAGGCCATTTTATACCAATTTGGAGTGTGGTCTAGTTATTCATTACAAGGACGGGTGGTGGGTGGTTTGGGGGCTTGTAGTGGGAAAGAATGGGGACATCTATGCTACCTCAGTCATGGACATTCCTGCTGACAAATGGACAGAGTGTACATATATGGGTGGGAGCTGCCATGTGCTCTCTCTTGCCTGGACCAGCCATGGATTAGGGCTGGGTCCTGTTCAGCCTGCCTCCCAGGCTAGA